CAAGACTTCGTTCATGACTGTATACAAGCATTAAATGTGTCATACATTACTGTTTCAATGTATGTTTGCCGGCGAATACAAACGTCTCGTCTCTCTCCTTACCATTCGCAGGCTAATTGTATCTAAGCAACTGAGAATAAAATCGTTGAATTAAATATGAGTCTGGCTTACTGTCCTTACTGTGTTGTTCAATCCAGTTTTCATAATCCGCATGTGATTCCTTTTATTGACACTATATGTAAAGGGCATGTACATTCATATGAAAGCGGTTTCGCCCGCACTTCCTAGCCAACGGCTACTGCTAGTTATACTAGCGTAAAAACGGCCACCATTTTCTCATAATGTCGTTCCCGATATGGCAATAATACAAAGTATTTCCTTGCAAGCTACGAGGATGACGATGAGGAGAGAAAAATGTCTGGTTAGCTTCTGTTGTGTATATTTGATCTTGTGTATCTTACTTGCTGGACTCCTTCACATCACAATACCATAGATTCAACTGATACGCATGTCAATGCCAAATAGGTGCTAATCCTTTTATGCGTTCTTTCTTACTGCGGTTTTCAGAAATATCCGGAATACAAGTCTTTCGATTCAAGAAGTGACTTTGGTTGTACACTCAAGTACCTGTAAGTCCATTTAGAAATCTATGTCCGATCATCGATAGAAGGGAAATTCTTATTCTATATTCATGTTGGTAGAAAAATGATTACACAATGGAAGTATCCAGAGAGAACTAATAACGGTTTGAAAAAATATCTGGATACGTGTGGACGGAGCCTGAAATACATAAGTTTTTTACTACTATGCAATTTTCAAGCGCCCTCTAGAAAAGTGCACATTCGGCGAGTTCCTGACGCGACAGTATATTTCCAACAAGATTCATGATAAACTAGGCCTTTAAGCTGCAGTTTACTTTGGCGAAAAGTTCATGTCACCTTTTTGTTCATTGGTCTATAGCTGAATAGATAATGAAATTTCTCTTTTTTACAAAAACAATAGCAGTATTAAATTTTATTCTATTAGCTTCATCAGATAACGATAAGCATATGTTAATGAGTCAAAAAATTATGTGTAAAGGATTCACCTTTAACCTGGAAAATGACTATTCGCCCAATTAAAACGGGATAAGGAGGAAAGTAGCTTTCAAAGGCTGGAAAATTTTGGAATACACAGCGAACTACAACTATATATAAAAACATGCGAAAAATAAGCATACCTTCTATCAAACTTTGTTCGAAATACTGGCTGAATACCCGTCGGTAAAACTTTTCTTAGATTTAAAAAGAACCAGGGGGTCATGAACGGCCAAGTTTGTCCTTCCCCTTTAGTTTGATTTCGGCGTCTTGATGGTACTTTCACATACTGTTTAACGTCACTGTGCCCAGAGTTCTTGCAGCATTTAAATAGTCACAACAGTATCAAATTTACCATTGAATTTAAACAGGACGAAGAAATTCCATTCTTTGACATCCTGTAAAGCATGGCCCTCTATCGTTTATATTTTTAAAAAAATTAATTTCCAGATTACAATCCTTGACCAACTTCCTTACCATACCACATTTCATCTCCCAAGTTCCACGTTGGGTTATCTTTGCAGGGCTTGGGTTCATATTTCCACATAGGATTAAATACGCGGTAATCTAATTTTGTGGTTTTACAAAATCTTGCAAAATCAGGAATAGTTGAAACGTCTTTAGCGTTGTCATTAGCTCTTAGCCCCAGATAATACATGGTCTCGCCATATGCCCCATGCGCGCCTAAATGGGAGTCACAAACATTCGAGATGTTACTAAATCGAGGAACATGTGACGCTGGAGGCTGATGATGTAACCTAGTATCGTGGAAGTATGTTTTGTTTAGAATACTGCTCAGCCACAACATGACTTGTTGGTCCGCATGTGGATGACACAACATCGAGCTTTCGTTCTGTGCCAAGAACTTCTGAATAATATCTTCAGAGAATATCATAAATGCTTCATCCAGCCATGTGATTCCTGCTTGACAGTGGAAAAATCCCCAGACTAGATTTTGTTTCGGCCTCAATGGAAGCTCAAAAAGAGAGCTCTTTGTGGATTATGTTTTGAAAGATGACGAGTCTGATGACGAGTAAGATGACGAGTACCTAGCCTTGCTTGCTTTATGATGATATTTAATTTGCTCAAGCCGTTTGCAGAAAAACTTAAGTATTGGGACAAAAACAAAGAAAAAGAAGTAAGCTATCAAAAGATTCAAGTAAAAAAAAAAAAAGCCTGGAAAGCAAAGATTATTGACCATTATGGAGGAATTTATCTTAAATTTGGTGAGACTCAGACTTGGGCTTTTAAGCAGACATCTTACAGATATCTTTGGAGTATCAGAAGGATCAGTTAGCAAAGTTTTCACAACGTGGATTTGCTTTTTATCTACAGTTTTTCGTGACATTTTTCTTAAATGGCCTTGTAAGGAAGAAATTAAGAAAAAGTTGCCAAGTTCTTTTAATAAATTTCCAAGCATTCGAATAATAATAGATTGCACAGAGATATTTTTGCAAAAGCCAACATCCCCCCAGAGAGCTACATGGAGTAACTATAAACAGCACAATACCATGAAAGCACTGGTGGGAATCACTCCAACAGGTTACTTCTCCTTTGTTTCTAAACTATGGACTGGAAATGTCAGTGAAAGATACATCACAGAAAGAAGTGGTCTACTGGACAAACTTGAAGAGGGGGATTCTGTTATGGCCGACAAGGGGTTCAACATCAGAGCTCTGCTTACAAGAAAGAAAGTTGCACTTAATATCCCACCACTTTGCAAAGGTACCTTTCCAATAAAGGGAGCTAATAGGGTAGGGGTGGGAGAGGGTATGCTAAGATCAAAGCGAAGGTCTCCCTGGAAAAAGTAAAAAAAAAAAACAGATATAACAGCAACCATAACTTGTTGCTTGTAAAAAGGATCTTTCTAACTAAACAGAAGAAGTTTCTTAGGAATATTTTTTATATTATAGGGTTAAGTTGAACTGCTCAAAGATAAAGGTAGTCTCTACTAACTTCCAAACATGTTTACATAGCAGGGGTGGATCCAGAAAATTCAGAAAGAACTGGTGTGGGGCAGCGGTTTGCCACTTCCACCCATCCAATAATTTAGTACAGGTTTTGTTTGGAAAAAAGGTTTCCAAAAAAGCAAGTACTTTACTATCAGTACCTTTTGAATTGGCGTTTACTTCATTCAAAATCCTTTTTCTCCTCTTACACAGGAAAGAAACTTTCAAAAAAGGCAGTAAAATCTACCCGTACCATTGCAAGTGTTCGGATCCACATTGAACGTGCTATAGGCCATTTGCACTTAGAGGTCATGTAACATCGTTTTTATGAAAATGAAAGTTATATGATTTTGCCTTCGAAAAACGATTAGGGGATCATATCTTGAACAAAATCATAGTTATTTGGTTTTTCACACCCGCACCATTTTCCTAAAATGAGTAAGTTCGTAGCTGGTCACGTGACCAAAATGTGATTTTTAAAATTATGAATTACCTCTTTCTGAACACAAATTTTGCACTTAAACTTCAAGGAAAATGTTGAAAAGATGATGTGGTAGCGTTTACAGCACATCTGAGCGCAACTATCATGCGTTTAACATGATATAAGCAAAAAGTAGTTTTGGCCGCCATGTTGGAGGGCAAGAGTATGCCCTCCAACATGGCGGCCAATACAAATCATACTACTTTGTTGAAAAATCAAAGTGTCATTAAATATATCCCTTAAATGAGTTTAATCTCAAATTTCGGGGGTATGATTATTTTTATGTGCTCTGTCAATTTTTGGCATCAGTAAGATTCCAACTCATTGTTTAAAGGAAGCATTGGTGACATGGGCTCTCAGAGCAAGTGGCCTATTGGACATCTTAAGGACTTTAGAATTCTACAAGGGAACTTCCTTCTTCAAATGCTACCCATTGCAGACAATATTCTAAGTGTTTGTGCTGCTCTGTGTAATTTGCTACCACCACTGGCCAAATGACTGACGCATTTGTCCAGAGAGCAGAAAAGCAGACCAAGTTATTATGACGTGGAAGTGATTGCAACTTAGTGTATGTAAATGGTAAATGAAACGTGTATTAAACGTATCCAGAGACAGATCAATAAAATTATGTGGTATCTAATCCAGCACAGACAAAAAACACTATTTAAGCACCTTCACTTTTACAATCAGCATCTAACGGCAGTCACTCTATAATGACTTAAGTATGTCATGGTGGAATAGTTCCTGAACTGTATACTCCACGAAGAAGTTTCTCAGCTTTTGGAGCATTTCATTCCACAAATCACTATCAAACTTAACGTTTACAATCAATATTCCTTTGAGGGTATATATAACTAGATCACAGCGATGAATCCCTGTTATCCCCATCAGTCCCTGGATTTGGTAGTTCCATTTGGTTTCTTTTTTAATTTCATACTTGCCATCCACAAGCATGAGGTTCTCCTCAGCTGCAACATGTGGAGGGAGATTTCTTTTTGCATACATGCTTTTAACTTCAATTAACTTCTTTTGGCAGCAAGCACAAATCCTTATACCATCAGGACTGGCTCCTAAGAAGGGCCATAATGTGTTTACAATGAGTCCACTTTTTTCTACTGACAACTTCTCATGATTTTTGTTCTGTTTTTTAAGACTAAGTGCTCACTTTTCTTTCTCATGCCCCCATATCAACTGTCATGACATGGCATCTTCAGCAATTATTGGACAGTAATTCATCAGATGTTTAATAATGACTTTCTTCTGTCTGTGCTGTCTCTAAGATGGCACACAGTGTAAAAGAGGAAGCTGTAATTCTTCCTGCCCTTTGATCAAACCAAAATTGAGACTGGGATTGATAGACAGTTTTCTTGTTGATCATTTCTGCTTGCTCTTCATTTAATGGAATAGACTCGAGGAATTCAATTGCAAGTTCTTTAGAAACTGTAGGCATCACTTTTTCAGTATTAACAGAAACAAACACTTTGGCGTAATCATTCATTGAATATAAATGTACACTTTGAAAACTAATTCTTCTTTACAGACATTAACATCACTGCTGATGAAAGCTCTGACTTCGTCCTCTGTTTGCCTGGGTCCTTTAGCTGAAGATAAAAAAGGCAGAGCTGAAGAGCTAGGACATATTTCCAGCAACCCAGCTTTAAAATCTTGTTCCAGTTCAGTCACATTATAGGGAATACAAATTGGATTAAAATCTCTTAGGTGAATTGGGTCTTTCAATGTCACACCTTAACTACCACTCGTTTGAAGGTCCTGAATGGGCAAACTTCCCTCATTTCTCTTTCCTCTCTTTTTCCTCATGCACTGTCCTGATGTACATGATTGGAGATCATTGAATCTCACGTTTGCTTCTAGATCAAACAATGCTGCAGCTATGTGCCGGCAACCTCCATCTGCCCTGTTTAAAGGAGGACCAATATGACAAATATGTATCTCCTATTGTTCACACTGCTAGACTGTAAAGTAGCCAATAAGTTCAGTTACTAGGCTCACAGACTTTGAACTACTGTTTTAATGTTTAGTGCTGAAGTCATAAATGATCCAGAAGGTTTGAGACTTAAAATAATGCATCCATTGATTTAGATCTTCAATTCAGGAGGCATCTACTTTTTACTCATGTTACAAGTGCTACAACGAAAATATAAACCTTCGAATCTGAATAAAACAAAACCTGTCACAGAGAAAAACAACCGAAAAGACCAAACGTTTTGATTCTCAAACGTATGTTTATGGAATATCAAGCACATAGACAGGCTTCAGAAATCAAAAGAAGAAAATACATACCCTATATACAGCAATTTTTGGGACTTTCATCTCCTCACTTTTCTCACAAAGTTCTACCAGTTCAACCTTACGTTTTCCTGAGCTTTGAATGCCCCTTTGTATTCTTTTAACCAAGGAACCGGTTTACAGTGAAAATTGCCTGCAGCAGAGTCAGCCATCTTGTGTCCTCTAAGCCTCGCTTACATGCGACTACCTAGTTCTCAGGAGTGCGCGGTCAAAAATATCGAAAGGACCCTATTTTCAAGCGCCCTCTATAGAAAAGTGCACATTTGGCACGAGTTCCTCATGCGATAGCATATTTCCAACGAGTTTCAACCAAGCCTTTAAGTTGAAGTTTCCTTTAGCGAAAACTTCACCTTTTTGCACATGTTGGTTGGTTTATAGGTGCACAGACAACAAAATTTCTCTTTTTTTGCAAAAACATGAAAAGTATTAAAAGTCCATTTCCGTAGAATAGAAATTCACTATTAAGTTAAAAAATTGAAAGAGGTGGTTAATATGAGCAGTTTGTGCAAGTTTAGCTTTTTGTAATCAGTAACAAAGGAAATAGCAGCAATCAAATACTGCTAAATTGTTGGGTGGCAAAACGTTAATCTTTGTCAATTTTGGGCTTTTCTCGGGACCTATTCGGTACACCGGGCTCAAATTTTGAGAGATAACTGAAACTGGTATGCCCTTTCAATAAAAAAAAAAAATTATTTCATTAACTTCATCAGATAACGTTAACCATATGCCAATAAGAAAAAAAAAACATGTGAAAAAGGATTCACCTACAACCTGGGAAATGACTATTTGCCAAGTTAAAACGGGACTGGGTGTAAATCAGTTTTCAAAGGCCAAAATAAGGCACAGGAAAAATTTGTTATATACAGCGAACTGCAACATGCAAAAAATCATAAACTCGCTAACTTTACCGAAAATAAGCACAACTTCCATCAAACTTAGCTCGAAATGCTGGCTAAATACCTGTCGGTAACTCTCTTCTTAAAATTTAAAAGAACTAGATGGGTCATGAACGGGAAAGTTTGTCATTCTGTTGAAGAGCCTTTCTGGGGAACTATCTGATTCTCACAACAAACAGACGATTACTTTGTTCAATTGACTCCTTTTTATTCTTTAGCCCAATGTCACGAAGTTAACTCAACTCCTATTTTACAATTCTCTGCTAAATCAGTGTTACACCCATTTTTATATCAGCCAGGAAACTAGCTGCTTAGTGCAAACCGAATGCTGGCGTAAGTCTGATCCGATTGGTTAAAACAGTCTCATTAGCATAAAACCTTCGAGATAATTGCTTTGTCGAAATGACTCTTCAACCGAAGTTTTCACTATTAAGCTTAAGTCAACTGGCAAATATAAAACTAGGAGAACGATATAAAAACTACAAGGTATATACTAGTAAACAGACTTTTCATATTAACAGATAGGAAGGTACTAAAATTACAGTTTGAAAATCTAAGGTTGTTGTCAATTTGCAGATAAGCTTCTTCATCGAAGATGATTGGCTAAAATTTTTCCATCAATTAACCACGAACGGGATTGCAAACTCAAAGGGTAAATTAAAAATGCAGCTCAAAGTACAACGCAGAATTTAAAACAATAGTTGTTTAACTATAAAAACACCTATAAAATCACTTAAGCCCAATTAAAGTTATCCACTGCCAAGAATTCGGTTAAAAACTCAAAGAAACACGCTTAAAACTGTTACAAACAAACAGGGTAGTCATTTCCTGGTAAATATCGAAGGAAGACCAGATTAAGGTCAAAAATGTTAAATTGGACAAAACACTTAATAGCGGGGCTCCCGCGCGCGCGAAGCGCGCGTGGGACAGACCCCATACCCATGGAATATGGTCAACCTCTTTTCGTTTGGTTGTCACGTGATTGACCGAGGTACGTACGTACGTACGCGTCTACAGATTGTATGGGTGGGGTAGGGGAGACTATCAAAAGGAAGGGAGGGGTGTCTCAGGCGTGTCTTGGCAAGCCCACATCTTTAATATAGGACATTAACAATATGGTCAATTGACAGCTGTCCAAACAGGATAGCCACTGACCAGTATCCCATGACCATATCGCGGGCTCATGTGTCAACTCATCGAGGTGACGTGATTTATTTGGAAGCTGTCCGCTGACCAGTTAACTGTTTTACTAGATCGCGAACAACGTTCAATCTCATACTTTTACTAGTTTGGGAGCACCGGAAAACTGATAATGCACACATATTGGACATTAATGTTTTGATCAATTGACAGCTGTCAAAACAGAGTACCCGCTGACCAGTATCACTTGACCGTATCGCGGGCTCAGGTGTCGACCCGTCGAGGTCAAGTATTTTTTGAAGTTATCCGCTGACAAGTAAACTAGTTTTCAAGTGATCGCAGGCTCAAGTTCAAGTTTTTTTCCTTATTCATATGAAATATGTTGTGTTTATGTGCTGCACAATTAAAATTTTGATTGCAAACTGACCTCGGACGTGAAAATTCAGCCAGCTGTTACAGGCAGGGAAGACAGTTGCTTTTGTTTTTTCTCACAATGGTCACGCGTTGGTCACGCTCTACGTCCAATTTTTATGCTCTGATTGGTCAAAATTTGACATGTGAGTTCATGCGCAAAATTTATGCAGCATCTTGAATCTTGTTTACTTTAACAGCTGAAGCTGACGGAGTTTTGTGTCAACTTGTGATGTTTTTAACTGTCTTTTTCCACTGGATGTACAAAATGAAATTCAGCTGCTATCAGGAGTCTTCTGTTACTCATGGCTAGTTTGTTTATTGGGTTTTTGGTTGAGAAAACGTCGCTTGTCAAAGTCGGAAATCCGATTTAGGATGGCATCGTTTTCGTTTTCACCTTGCTTGATGCGTAAGAGGATTGCAAAGTCTGAAGCGATACTGGCTTTACCTGATAACTTTCAGGAGCTGCATCTCGAATGGTAAGCCAGAGAAATTATTGTATTTCATGTTTTTTTTTTGTATCTAATTTAATGAAGTGGAGCGTAGTTTATGCGGGAATTTAGTTTATGCGCGTTTGTAAGTTTTGAGACAACGATCTCACCGAGTATCTGGTTTGATATAATCTTACAGAACTTTAAAAAGCCTTTAGACAGTTTCTCACCGCAAATAGAAAGAAAATGTTCCAAAGAATCTTTAGTTATAATTCTAGCCGGAAAAGAAAGCTTTGAGCGATTTTCTTGCCTCGAGTTCGTCTTTGAAAAAACAAACACCGGGAAGCTGGCTTAAAACATAAACTTCAGCAAACTTAAGCTTGAAGCTTGAAGACTCAGGATATTTAGGGACACTTTAATACTTGTCTTCCTGAATGAAAATTGTTGTCTCTGTTTATGTTTCACCGAATTATATTTCTTTTATTGATTGTTGGTAGTCTCTCTTGCAATTTTAATCGCTATGCCGATTGTTTTCAGTCGTTCAGTGAACATCGCTTGCAGGAGTTCTCAAAATGCCGCGCGTTAAACCATCAAATAAAAAATAAACATGATAAATTCTTTATTATCTTGGAGCGTAACTCTGTTAATGTTCATTCAAACACTCGCTACAGCTCGCACTACAAAAGTGAGAACCGGATGGCCGTATAGGTGATTTTGGAAAATTTTTTTAACAGTTTATGAATATTGAATGAGAGCAATTTGTATTGTGAAATACTGCTTTCTGTCCATGGTATAAAAGGTTGGTTTACACGCACCCAGATTTGTTGGCAAGATTTTGCAAAGTAAACTTGTCGAACGCCAAAACGTTGGCCTGATTTTTTTTCTAAGCCTAATTGATCTACGGTGATCAATAGCCATTACGGCTCTTAAATGTGATAAAACATGAGTTACCAGAATTACCAGTTTTTGAGTGTACATATGAGGCTATCAACTCGATGTAAGATTTGGTTCACTCTTGGGCTGTTTGCAAATTATTTTTCTCTAAAATCAGGTAGCCTTTCCCTCAAAAGTCACATAAATGTGCTCTAAAGTTAACTGAATTGTGGAATTCGAATACAAGTTTATTGTTTAATTTAAATTATAAATTTACTAATGGGAGCCTCGCTTTTAGCCCTGGCTAAATCTATATATTATAAACAAGGGTTTGTCATCTGCCAAAGGCTCTAATGAAACATATTTCATGAACAGAAGTATTACTGCGGAGATGCACCAAATTGGTACATCTCCTTTGCACTGAATTCATGTCAGGAGAAACTTTCTATCGATCATCAATTAACTTAGGAACCAAACCTACTAGTAGTGAAGTAGCTTACTCAAACCAATCAACAAGAACGCTTACAACAACTCATCTAAAAACATATATCGTGGCAAATGCCACAAGTGACTCTAACGTAACTCTTCAGTCAACTTTATCCTTCAACAAGACCAAGGAGATTGAATCAACAGAAATCATTTTCTCATTTCGGGAGAGGACGTCGTTTGATCAGTGCTGATGCGTAGGAGTTGAACACCAAGTAAAATAAGTCAAATTGTTTTTTTTTATGATATTTCCCTTCACCTATAGATAATTCCCGAATCAAATGAAATTTGTAATAAATCCCAAATACCAAATAAAAGTCCTTTAATAATTTGAAGTCAAAAACATGCGCACTACGAACATTTTTCATCGCCTCCATTTTTATTGTTTAACAATTCTCTTCTAGTTTGGTTTCGGCGCGTTGATATATATAAGGTTAAGGCGTCATTGTGCTAAAGGTTCTCGCAGCATTTGAATAGTCACAACAGTATCAAATTTTTATTTACCATTGAATTTAAAGATGACAAGGAAATTCCACTCTTTGACATCCTGTAAAACACGGCCCTCTATCGTTTTTATTTTTTAAAAAATTAATTTCCAGATTACACTCCTTGAACAACTTCCCTACCAAAAAACATTTTATCTCCCAAGTCCCACGCTGGGTTATCTTTGCAGGGCTGGGGTTCATGTCGCCACACACCACCAAATACACGGTGATCAAACTTTGTGGTTTTACAAAATTTTGCAAAATCAGGAATAGCTGAAACATCTTTAGCGTTGTCATTAGCTCTTAGCCCCAGATAATACATGGTCTCGCCATATGCCCCATGCGCGCCTAAATGGGAGTCACAAACATTCGAGATGTGACTAAATCGAGGAACATATGACGCTGGAGGCTGATGATGTAACCTGGTATCGTGGAAGTATGTTATGTTTAGAATACTGCTCAGCCACAACATGACTTGTTGGTCCGCTTGTGGATGACACAACATCGAGCTTTCGTTCTGCGCCAAGAACTTCTGAATAACATCTTCGGAGAATATCATAAATGCATCATCCACCCATGTGATTCCTGCTTGACAGTGGAAAAATCCCCAAACTAGATTTTGTTTTGGTCTCAATGGAAGCTCAGAAAGAAGCCTTTTTGGGCACAAGAAGTAGTCATCATCAATTCTAAGTAGGTACTGAAAGTTAAATTTCGCCGCTGCCCATTTGATTTGGTTAAGGAAGCGGAATCCAAACCACCCACGGCCTCCTTTAAGAGGCTGAAGCTTAATATCCTTGTATTTATCCTTTTCGTTTAAAATAAGGTTATGTTGAATTTGTTCTGTTATGAGTCCATCAGTCATGAAGACGCATTCCACCTAAAGAAAGAAAAATTCAAGTTACACCCACGAGGTCAGAACTGCCCTTATGTCTCGGGTGTCGTGTAAGCCATCTTCAGGGCCTTTCTCGTGTAAATCTGGGATGGGACCCTCCCAGAGTCCAAGAGAAAAGCCCTGGGACCCCAGCCTAGTCCCTAGGCTTTCTGTGTTGCCCGTTGTCCGCGCGAAGTCTGGGAAAGAGCGGGCGAGTCTCTGTCGATGACGTCACAGCTCATAGTAGACTCCAGGGCCCACTTGTTCGAAAGCCCATTAATCGTAACTCAGGATTAAGGTTTATTCTGGGTTTCTTGTTCTTTTGTTCAAAAGCATTTTCCCGGATAATTTTCACTATTCGTTATAGAACATCAATTTAGTACGTTACAGGCTAAAAGAATTACACTGAATTTGATTTTTAAGCTTTCATATCTGAATTTATACCTCGCACTAACCCTGGGTTATCTTAACCCTGCTTTGAACAACCCGGCCCAGGATTGACCGAACCGAGACTCCAAGGACTATGCTCCTGGGGCCCGTTTCTCGAAAGTCCCGGTAACTTTACGGGCCCGAAATCAAATATTCAGATTATATACTGATAGTTTTATCATATTATCTGTAAACCTACTGAAACCTCGAGCTTTAATGTAAACGACAACAGCTTTTCGGGCCCGTTAATAGACCTCTTTCGCTTGTGTGTTTTGTTTTCCCAATAGAGCTCTCAGGGGAACGTGAACCTTTGTCTTTTCATAAATTATGCGTAGATATGCACGAGAATAAGACGAAATTTGAAAGAAACGGTTCTCTAGAGTACATGTATTACTAGTATAATATCATAGGTGACGAATTACTCCTTAATTTTGGCGCGAAATTTCAGCGTTAATTTCTAATTTCACATGTGAAATTACAAAATTGCCATGGCAACCTTCCGTACGTCTCAGTGTCAAGATGGCGACGAAGTTTTAAAACGTCATGAATGAAGATGTCAGGGCACAAAAAGACGCTTTAGAAAACCTGAACTCACGAACGAGCACATCAAGAACGATTCTAACAGGTATTTTGTCGAAAAACTCTGAACCACTTAAGCCAAACTTAAGCTCTAAACGTTCGAGAGAGTGCAGGAGTTCTCCATCGATACGATCCAGGATAAACATGTCAAAATCCAAGATTGCTAACGTCATTCGTCACCCATAATATTAATAGGTAATCAAATGGTATAGTCGTGAAATTAGGGAATAATTTCACTTGCGTTTTGTCCAAATCCTAATAATTTCCCGAGCCTAAGACAAAACGTGCGTGAAATTATTCCCTAATTTCACTCGTCACCATTTGATTACACATACATAGTTGACACTACAGCTGCCCCTGCTCTGTATGTTGTTGGTCAATAGTATTCTTACCGTTGTGTAGCTCTCTTTTCACACACATTCCATACTTTGGTGAGGTAAAAATGATGAAATGATGAAACTAAACGTTTTCTGGAAAAGCAGATTCACGACTTTCAATTCTGTTTTCTCTATTTATAACCAAGGGACCTTCGCCAATGATTCATTGAGGAGCTTTTTAGTAGAGCTTGCTTTAGCACAGTTAGACTAAAAATGCAGACGTTTCTTTATTTTTGTTTGTGTGTGGGCACCAGTTAGGACGCCATGCTCCCAAGCGTTCCTAGCAGAGACCGTGGAAACTTGGGATAAGAATGGTGATGAGTTTCATTGTATGCAAATGAGTCTCGTGATGAGCATGCGGTTTATTTTTGGCGATGACTGAAATGACGCATGTAAGTTGATTACGTTTTTGCTGTTTGGCAATGATGTAATTTTCCCCGAATCGAGGCCCTTGATTTTCGCGTTATTATGCACGCGTATTATGAAGTAAATACCCCGAGTAGGATAAGAAAATATTATAGCGGGAAATCCTATTTGTGGTGTATTGAGGCGTTACGTTTCCGGGAATATTGTCGCAGTTACTGGGACTCCACGGTTAAATAGATTCACTTCGTTGTAAGTAGTATAGGGTGCACCACGGTTTCCACTTTTTTGAGCAGGAATCTCATAAGCGTGAGCAGGAATAAATTAAAGCCAATGACGTCATAGGCTATTGTCTTGATCTCATGAATAAAATGCGCAGGAATCTCATTAAGATAAGGTCGTGTGTTATTTTTAGTTGGTTTAGGTTTTCTAGTTACTTTAATGTCGATAGACGTCTTCCTTTTCGATTGGTTAGTTAGAAAATAAGAAACGTTTTCATTGATTAATTCATAGTGTCTAAGGAGTAAAGTCAAACTTGTCTGTGACTTAAAATCACTGAGACGTAACGCAATTATGCACTTCCTATTTCCTGCTGCTGTGATTGTCCTTGTTCCGGTTCACTGATTTTTGGCGGACAAATCGTGTATATTAAAGAGGGCAAAGGCAAACTAGCTCTTTTTATACACTGGAAGCAATGCTTTACTTACCCCTCTCCTTTTCATTTTTTATTTTCCTCCTCCTCCACAATTTTGTTATTTTCCTTCCACAATTTTTTTATTCCCATTTTTCTTTCCTCCTCCTCCTCCTCCTCCTCCTCATTTCTATTGTTTTCCCTACACCACCACCGCCACAAATCTATCGTTTTCCCTCCACTACCACCACCACCACCACAACCACCACATTTCCATAGTTTTCCCTCCACCACCACCACCACCACCACCACTGTCACTACATTTCTATTGTTTTCCCTCCACCACCACCACCACCACCACCGCCACCACATTTCTATTGTTTACCCTCCACCACCACCACCACCGCCACATTTCTATTGTTTTCCCTCCACCACCACCACCACCACCACCACATTTCTATTGTTTTCCCTCCACCACCGCCACATTTCTATTGTTTTCCCTCCACCACCACCACCACCACCACCACCACCGCCACCACATTTCTATTGTTTTCCCACCACCACCACCACTGCCACATTTCTATGTTTTCTCTCCACCACCACCACTACCACCGCCACCACATTTCTATTGTTTTTCCACCACCACCACCACCGCCACATTTCTACTGTTTTCCCTCCACCACCACCACCACCACATTTCTATTGTTTTCCCTCCTCCACCACTACCACCACCACCACCACATTTCTATTGTTTTCCCTCCACCACCACCGCCACATTTCCATTGTTTTCCCTCCTCCTCCTCATTTTTATTGTTTTTCCTCCCCCTCTTCCTCCTCCTCCTCATTTTTTATTGTTTTCCCTCCTCCTCCTCCTCCTTCTCCTCCTCCACCTCCTCCTCATTTCTGATGTTTTCCCTGCAAGTTTGGCCTTTTAGGCCGTTTAGGCCTGATTTCGGCCTCTTTGGCCTTTCGAGGGAAAACAATAGAAATGAGGAGGAGGTGGAGGAGGAGGAGGAGGAGGAGGGAAAACAATAAAAATGAGGAGGAGGAGGAGGAAAAACAATAAAAATGAGAAGGAGGAGGGAAAACAATAAGAATGAGGAGGAGGAGGAAAAACAATGAAAATGAGGAGGAGGAGGAGGAGGGAAAACAATAAAAATGAGGAGGAGGAGGAAGGAAAACAATGGAAATGTGGTGGTGGTGGTGGTGGTGATGGAGGGAAAACAATAGGTATGTGGTGGTGGTGGTGGAGGGAAAGTAATAGAAATATGGCGGTGGTGGTGGTGGTGGTGGTGGTGGAGGGAAAACAATAGAAATGTGGCGGTGGTGGTGGTGGTGGAGGGAAAACAATAGAAATGTGGCGGTGGTTTTGGTGGTGGTGTAGGGAAAACAATAGAAATGAGGAGGAGGAGGAGGAGGAGGAAAGAAAAATGGGAATAAAAAAATTGCGTTAGGAAAATAACAAAATTGTGGAGGAGGAGGAAAATAAAAAATGAAAAGGAGAGGGGTAAGTAACAGGACAATCACAGCAGCAGGAAATAGGAAGTGCATAATTACGTTACGTCTCAGTGATTTTAAGTCACAGACAAGTTTGACTTTACTCCTTAGACACTATGAATTAACCAATGAAAACGTTTCTTATTTTCTAACTAACCAATCGAAAAGGAAGACGTCTATCGACATTAAAGTAACTAGAAAACCTAAACCAACTAAAAATAACACACGACCTTATCTTAATGAGATTCCTGCGCATTTTATTCATGAGATCAAGACAATAGCCTATGACGTCATTGGCGTTAATTTATTCCTGCTCACGCTTATGAGATTCCTGCTCAAAAAAATATACTACTGTTGTATGTATACTACTGTTGTATGTATTTAATTGATAGATTTTCGTAGTTGTTAAGATATGAAGTCGTGTTGCACTTTATAAATACTTGAGATATCAATGATTTAACCTTCGACTACTACTAGAAGCAACTTTAACTACCCGTCTACGTTACGTATGTGTTTAGACGGGTAGCTTTGTACTTGACTATCACTCACTCTACTTGCAGCACTTCATGTCCATAGAATAGAAATCCCACATCGAGCTTTCCCGGAACAAAAAAAACGAATTGTAGCCCTTATTTTACTGCCTTACAATTTATCAATAATATTGAAAGTAAAAGGTCATATTAAAGGAAAGTTAGTCTCGAGAATCTTAAATTTAAAAAAAAAATGTATCGAGCGGTTTAAAAATTATTCGCTAATTTGTTAAAGAAGACCAAAATGTTTACAAAACCGCTAACAAGAGCGTTTCGATACCTAGTAATCAAATCCTTCTTTCTAGCAATCGGCTGGAGTTATCTCCATGATCTTTCACAAACGTTTTTAAAAAGGTTGAAACTACCATGAGGTAAAATTGCATGTCTAAAGCGCTTTGTTTTGTACAGATAACGGCCAAACATCAAGGTTGTCCATTTTTAACTGTGTTTCTAGCCATAAAAAAAGACTTCATCCCATAATAGTCGCGATAACGCTCTTACAGATTTGGCTTAAACTTGACGAGCATCGAGGCCGCTATTAAAGGCAAAAGCAACCGCGAACGATTTTGGAAGAACAGTTCCTAGCGGCCGAGATATATTGCTGCAAGTAAAATAGGTAATAGCGTCATTTCGTTGCTATGACAACTCCGATGTAGTTGCAACCCTGATCATAACAAATTTTCATTTTTATCCACAGCTAACCCAGGCTCTGTGATAGTACCACAGTACGATTCTAGTAAAATTACAGTGTTTGTATTGGGTAAAAATACGATCGTAAAATTTGTAGGAAATACTAAATATAAGTCAATGAAACTTACCTTGCAGTTAGTTGTTGTTGTCCCTATTACTCCAACGAAGTTTCGTGATAATTTGTACTAATTTGTTCAAATTCACTCTATATACAATTATAATATACAAGCAGTAGGAGACAAAAGATTCCATCTTCGCCGCCATGCTCTCATTCAACACAACTTTTTCCACGAAATTCGCACTCCAACAGAAAATAAACATGCCAGGATCGTAGTAATAGGATATTAGCACATATAGAAATCAATGAAGCTTTCCCAGATGGAAAAACGAATCCCGCAGACTTTGACAAACTCGAAGGATGTAATCCAAAAAGGCCGAGAATATGCTCGCCGAAGTAACCGGGCCAGATCAACGGGCGGCCAAGAAAATGAGGCCTAGGCAACTTCGTTGGAGCAATAAGGACAACAACAACTAACTGCAGGGTAAGTTTCATTGACTTATATTTAGTATTTACTACAAATTTTAAGATCATATTTTTACCCCATACAAACACTGTAATTTCACTAGAACCGTACTGTGGTACTATCACAGAGCCTGGGTTACCTGTGCTTTATCTAATACAACCGTGGTGGCAATTTTTCCAAGTCTTTGGTTATGGTGACGTAGTTTATGCTCAAACTTGGGAGGTATTGACTCTGAAAACTGTATCGAGCCACCTTAAGAGGCCCTGCGCGTAAGGAACGACCGATGATTTCCGGCTAAAAAATAAAATCGGCCGATTTTTATCTCCCGAGTAGAGGTTACCGAATACTATTCAAAAATGAATTTCTTTTGTTTCAGTTTCGCGTTAAACCAAATATATCGAGCCGCAAACTTTTTCCGTCTGATAGCAGCAAAATCAGGCCTAAAATAAGCTCTCCCAAAACGGTTCAGAAATCAGTATCGCGACGCAAAACAACGAGAAAACCACACAGTGATGAAGAAAAAGGCCTTTTAATGCAATATCATTCGATAAACATCGAAAAACTGCTGAAGGGAATAAAAAATAAATTTTCAAATATTGCATATTAAATTAGATGGAGCGTTGGAGTTGATTTTAAAATAATAATTTCTTAAAAGTCCAACGCTGCTGAAAGCAATCACAGTGATGAATCAGACATTGGAGGGACATACATCACGTTTTCGGAAAAACATTTTTCGGCCAAAGTATACTGACGTTGTAAAAACCGTTCAAAGTTACCGTATTTACCGTTAAGTTGCCACTTCGACGAAACACTTCTCTGTTGCCAATATGGCCAAGGATAGCGTGGTAAACGCCACTTGAAGCCTTGCTAGGCGCTCAAAACCATCCTAAATAGAAGTATATAGAATTAAAAGAGAAAGGAAAATGAAAGATTCGCAGAAAAAGAGAATAACTCGAAATTACCATCCGGCTAAGGAGAGTTGAATCTTGGAAATGTTGTCGCGTGACAGCGTTCATTTGTCCGAACTGTAGCGGGATCCAAACAAATGCGTGAAATATAAGTTTAAAAAAAACAGTCCTTCTATCACCAGAAATCGTGAAGTGAAACAGTTTTATGTTTTTCCTATTAATGATGATGAATTCAGCCTCACCTAGTCTCCAAGTACTTTGAATGTGGGCTGCTTGTATTTCGTTACATACATTCCAACTGACGTTACGGGTCAGCGCGTGTAGGGGTCAGCGGTTATTTCGGTATGTACCAATTTTTTTCACGGTAGCGCGGTATTTAATTTTGCGAGGAAACGTGCGACGACCTCGAATTGAACGGTACAACGAACGGAAAAGATACCCTACCAATTTCATCACAGATTATCTGTCAGAAATTGTGTAATGGTAATCATTTACCATTAATCTAAAGTCTTAAAAATACTGACGTGCATTAAACTTGGAACTTGGCGCTTGGAAGTAGCACAGGGTCCAGAGGAGATGTGTTTGTCGTTAGAAAATCAGAACCCGTGGAAAACCTCTGAAAAAATGGGTTATTTTGATCGCGTTACAGTTTCGTTACGCATTTTATAGTCGCCCTTCGGTCAGCCTTCGGGCGACGTGCCATGCGCCAGCGAGGATATGGCTTGCGGTTATTGATTTTCAAAAGTCGATCCGGGACAGATAAGAAGCAAAGAAATCGTTTACAGTAGATTTATAAAGATCCCATTGGGCTAATTAATCGTGCTAAGCGGCAGGTATAGACATTTTTCAAGGTGAGTTTCATTTATTCACACGAAACTCCTCTGGACCCTGTGGAAGTAGTGGGCGCGAGAGAGAACGGGCGCGCGTGAAGGAGACACGCGAGGGGTCATCCAAACGCCTGCTACGCAGGCTAGCATTAAACAGGAGAGGGCAATGAACAGTACCGCAATACCTTGATCTTCTTTTACCGAATACCGTTAACCAAAAGGAAGAAATACCGCAGACCGCAGAGCTAAATGATACCGCCTACCCCACTTTAAAATCCAAATTACCGAAATACCGCTTCAAAAAAAAGCTCAATACCGTAAGCCCCCATTTCCCCCTCCATGCTGTTGAAGAGGTGACAGAATATTTGGGCTTAAAACATCCAATTATATTTGATGTTTACAATCTTTGTCATAATTATCACAGCAACAAACTTTCATCTTTCAATGTTAGTGTTATGTGAAAGACATGTGCTGGTATTTCGAAATACCTTACAAATCTACAGATCTAAAAAGAGACCTTTTAGCCAAGGTTTCAGTGTAAAGGAATGTGACTGAGTGCAGCAAAAACTAATTTCATTCTGTAACTTTCCTGCGCAAGAGTTTGAGTGCATGGTATGCTGTCCAATGGTAATGTGACAAGTTGTGCGTTGTGCATTGGTTATCATCTAAATATCATAAATATTATTGTGGAAACAAATTATGAAGCATATTATATAATGAAGTTGCAAAATGAGTGAGGCACTTTCATCGATTTAAAAGTCCTACCGGTCTCCTATAATTTTTTTATGATGTCCTCCCCAATATTTGGGTGACCCTATTCGGCGGAATGGCGGAATACATGCAATCAGTTGTAAAATACGGAATATACGTAATTCTCTAAAACACGGAATTTACAGAATATTCTGTATTTGATTTGAACTGGACTGACGAAAAAGCAGAGGCAATGTTAAAAATTCAATTCTCGTACTGCCGTAAGCCACACTATAAACCTTATGACGGTTTTGAAAGCCATCTTGACGGGTGAAGGGTCCGGTATCACGGGAATCTAATGTCGGATAACTTTCATAAAACGGCTGTTCTAAAAAAAAGAATTGTAAACTTAAGCTTGACAGGATTGTTCTACCAATTAATGGGGGCCGCACCTGTGCCTAAATTTGTCCGGTCGCTTGCTTTAGATTTTCCAGAGTCTTCAAAGTCTTCAAAGGAATGATCTCTTCTTCAAATTTTGTGGAGATTGCTCGGCTGGTCGTTCTGGCGAGGAAGGATCCAGGGACAACAAGTCCGTTTTCCAGTCTCCTTGATCCATTACCTTAATCGACTTGCACTTTGTTTTGACTGCGAGCTTTTTTAAGAAAGGTGAATATAAGGAGGGAAAGTTCCAACGACAAAGTGTCCAACAAGTTTCAAGGTAAGTCCCTCGCGTTAACTGAGCATTCACCGTCAGTATTTGTTACTGCTACAGTTTCAAATGTTGTTCGTTTTTAAATAAATATCAAGGTTCTTTTTTTAACATTTGGTTGTTTCTCAAAAAAGAAATAAGCGCCCTGTCCCGAATAAGCGTCCTCCCTAGAGGCACCAAAAGTAAATAAGCGCCTGGGCGCTAAATCGAATGATTACGGTAAGTCAATTCTTTTACTTGTCACGCGCTTAAAACATGGTTCGAGTTAATGAGGGTAAAATTATATAGAAATGATCTGAAGAGAAACAAAAATTAGTATTACTTCGAGTTAGCACGAGGTTCGAGTCGGTAGCGAGGGTTCGAGTCATTGGAGTCGACTGTATACATGTATACCCTTTTTAAACGATTTTTCTCTTATTCTGCGTTTTAGAGTATTCCGTATATTCCGTATTTTAGAATATTCCATGTATTCCATCATTCCGTTCCGTCATTCCGTCAGTCCACCATTCCACCGAATAGCGTCACCCCCGATATTTTCATGTCCAAGAAAATACTAAACGCGAGGCTAATCATTGTGCCAAGAATTGAATCTGTTAGCTACATTTTACAGCGCCACATACTAGTCCTTTGAAAACAAAAAAACCGTAATTCTTGGGCGTAATGAACTCAGTTTTCGGGATCAAGATGTTCCTCGTTCTCGGGAGCAATAGTAATCCAATATCTCTCTCTTTTTTTCCTTGAAGGAAGACATTAGACATTAACATGAATGATTCTCGCCCGAAAAAAAAAGACATGGGATCAGATTTCTTTCAATAGACCGCTGGCCAGAAGCGTCGACTCGTGACCCCACGACGATCAGATCACGCTGAGGCCAAAACGGTGCGGCGGTTCGAGAACTTTTTCTTTTTAAGTCACTATCGCTTGTGAAAAAATAACATTACTGTAACATTGTTTCACTAAGTGCTTTCTGGCCGGGAAAAAGTTGTGCATTCATTTAGATTCCGCCGCAGTTTATACAAATGACGTCATTGGCCGCTGTCACGCGACGACATTTTCTAGATTCAAGTTTCGTCAGCAGATGGTAAATTCGAGTTCTTTTCTTTTTCTGCCTATTTTTCATCTTCCTTTCTCTTTTAATTCTACGTCCTTCTACTTATTATGGTCTCTGAGCGCCTTGCAAGGATTAAAGTGGCGTTTACCACGCTATCCACGGCCGTATTGTTAACAGAGAAGTGTTTCGCCGAAGTAGCAAGATAACGGTAAACACTGCAACTTTGAACGCTTTGTACAACGTCAATATACTTTAACCGAAAAATGTTTTTCCAGAATCGTAATGTATATCCCTCCAATGTCTGATTCATCACCGTGATTGCTTTCAACAGCGTTGGACTTTTGAGAAATAATTATTTTAAAATCAACTCCAACGCTCCATCTAATTTAATATGCAATATTTGAAAATTTATTTTTTATTCCCTTCGGCAGTTTTTCGATGTTTATCGAATGATATTGCATTAAAAGGCCTTTTTCTTCATCACTGTGTGGTTTTCTCGTTCTTTTGTGTCGCGATAGTGATTTCTGAACCGTTTTTTGCGAGGGCTTATTTTAGGCCTGATTTTGCTGCTATAAGACGGAAAAAGTTTGCGGCTCGATATTTTTGGTTTAAAGCGAAACTGAAACAAAAGAAATTCATTTTTGAATAGTATTCGGTAACCTCTACTTGGGAGACAAAAATCGGACGATTTTATTTTTTAGCCGGAAATCATCGGTCGTTTCTTAGCCGCAGGGCCTCTTAATTGTCCAATTTTGGCGAATTTCTCTGAAGGTTTATTCCAAAAGGACTGTATCCAGGTTCCGAATCGGTGTCTTTTGTTCACGTTCTCGGTGTAAAACGGGAAATAAGGAATTTGACGTCGAGGTCGTTGAACGACACTAAAGAAAGTGCAAAAAACAAAGGGTGCTGCTCGTGCAAAGTTGTTGTTTTGCTAATCTAAACCCGTTGATTTTTGCTTTTTGCCGTCGTCTCCGTCGTTGGTAGAAAATTTCGCTGTGAATAAGTATGTGTAATCAAATGGTGACGAGTGAAATTAAGGAATAATTTCACGCGCGTTTTGTCCAAACCCTAATAACTTCCTGAGCCTTTAGGCGAAGGAAATTATTAGGATTTGGACAAAAGGCAAGTGAAATTATTCCCTAATTTCACGAGTATACCATTTGATTACCTATTAATATCATGGGTGACGAATTACGTTAGCAATCTTGGATTTTTGACATGTCTATCCTGGAACGTATCGATCGAGAACTCCACTCTCTCAAATGTTTAGACCTTAAATTTGGCTTATAAAGTTCAGAATTTTTCAGACTTTTTCGGCAAAATACCTCTTAGAATCCTTCTTGAGTTCTCTTGTGTGTTCAGTTTTTCCAAAGCGTCTTTAATTTTTGTGCCCTGACATCTTCATTCATGACATCTTAAAACTTCGTCGCCATCTTGACACTCAGACGTACGGAAGGGTCGCCATGGCAATTTTGTAATTTCACATGTGAAATTACAAATTAACGCTGAAATTTCGGGCCAAAATTAAGGAGTAATTCGTCACCAATATAATGTTATTACTGAAAGAAACATCATCGTGAGATCGTGAGATAACTGGCGACAAAGAACCTATCTTGCCTGCTTACCTGAGTCTGATTGCCAGAACAATGTTTCCACCATGTTTCTCTTATTGCCTGTCTTCTCTCAAATCTTGCTGTTGCAGTGGAAACGATGATCAATAGCAATACGGCTCTCTTATCCTTCCCCAAGTCTTTAAAATCAATCAGTTGATGGAGAGTTTCGTCTACATCTGAGTCATCTGTGTCGTTGATTTCTGTTTGATTTTTTAATGCTGCCATAATGACTATAGGGGCAGTATTTGCCAAGGTAGGTGCATTTTGTAGCTCTGATGGGCGTTCCTGATTATGGAAAGTGATAGTGAAGTAGGCAAAAACCATCCATGCCGGAGCAGAAGCGAAGATAAGGGCAACAATTATGACTCGTTTCTTGTTATAAATCATTGCCAGTCATTGGGTTGTTGAGACCAGAAACACGGGTAATATTGTAGAACTCAGTCGCATTAACACTGAATGGAACAAAAACTCCTGAAAAACAAACCAATATCGCGCCACATATTTACCTATCCGATTAGTGTAACCAAGCGTCCAGACCGTCGGTCAAATGCCCCGATACACAAACACACCTCTCCCATCCCTGCAGCATTTGCTGGTGAGCTAGTACCAACACAGGCAGCCCAGACGTAGCCTAAGAGTGTCAACAACAGGGACAAAATCGGACCGATCAGAGCTATTATTACCCTTGTTATTAAAGATGGCATGGGTTACCACTCAAGCGTTATCTATCTGCAGGGGCACCCAACGAGAATATAGTTCAAAACCACTTAAACATAGCATAGTTGAACGTATTGTAGTATTTAAACGGTAGACATAGGCATATTTTTATCCCCTAAAAATTCACACATGTCCAATACTCTCGACCAGATTCCAGTGGAGAAAACCTGGAGTCCGACGGAGTCTAGTCGAAAAATGAAACCGGAAGTTCAGTAGAGTCCACTTGAGTTACCGGAAGTTTAGTCATGACATGAAACCGGAAGTGTAAGCAATACTTAGAGGAGGGTTGGAAAGCCGTCCGATGGAGTCCATCGGATCCATTGGAAACACATCGATTCCGATGGAATGTCAGGAAGTCTAGTCGTGCCATGAGTCAAAACAAGCACACTGAACGTGTAACATAACTCGTTCTTTAAGCCCTAAGTCGAGAATGGCAAGCCTAACAGGCAACAGAACTCGTTCTTAAAGCCATGAGTCGAAACAAGCACGGACGTCGGTACACATAAGTCGTTCTTAAAGCGATGAGTCAAAACAAGCACGCTACACAAAAATAATAACTCGTTCTTAAAGCAATGAGCCGAAACGAGCACGCTACGCGAATGGCATAACGCGTTCTTAAACCCACGTGTCGAAACAAGCACGGTACCCACCTAACATAACTCGTTCTTTAAACACTAAGTCCCCTAGGCCCTTTATTCGAGACGGACTGGCACGCTTAAAGCCACGAGTCCAAGCACGGTAAAGCTATGAAACGCGGCAAAAGCCCTGCGAAACGAGGACAGTACACAAGTATATGCTTCGTTCTTTAATGGTAACTATAATATGAGCTACACTTGAGTAGAATTATTAAAAGAAACATACTGGTAGGCGGTAGGCATAACATTGAAACTGACATTACAAGGATACAAAATGTATGAAGTTATTGAACAGCTGAAGTTTTAAACCTGAGCAATATTGAATTATTATTTGTTTTGTAAAATACTTAGTAAAAAACATTAAGTGATAAAAAGCTATATAAAACATTACATAAATCAGTGCTGGTCACTTCACACATCAACCAGCTGTAGACAGAAATTGAAGCTGGATGATTCTAGATCTCTTCCATAAGGGCCCAATTCAGAAAAATGAAAGAAATATGCTTTTTATCATATCTTTATAAACGCCAATGAAATATTGGGTGAGCTTGTGTTGGAAAACATGATATCTTCACATGTCAAAATAACAAGTAAGTTATCTTTGCATGTAGACTACGAGTAGTCCCCCATTTTTCCTCAGGGATAGTAGAGCGAGCGAAACGCGAGCGGGCGTGAAAATCACCCCACGCGCGCCTTTTCTCGCGTGGGGTGATTTTTACGCGCGCTCGCGTTTCGCTCGCTCTACTATCCCTGAGGAAAAATAAGGGACTACACGTAGTCTACTTTGCATGTGAAAAGATCACCACTGCTATGGTACAATATAACAACTCACACCTTTTACAGAAAAAAAATTATTCATTTAAGAAGTGAAATGGTTAAGTATTTCAGTGGTATAAAATAAATGGAACATATTGCATGGCCGCTCGGAAATATGAAATTTCTCTTCTCATGTTGAAACAATATTTCACTGCTTCCAGCAAGGCTTACCCTTCCTTCTCTGTTGGATTGCTATTAATCACACCTTTGTTGAGAAAAGCATGGACAAATTTCTTATAACAAGTTAGAGTTAATTTGTGTTTTTCATGTAAAATCATGCATGCCCAACCCTATTCTGCACCCTACAGGAAATATGTTGGATATATGCACGCAGTTTCAATATGTAAAGGGTGTGGGGAAACAGCGATAGATTTAGTACAGGGTATTTTTCAAAAGGGTAGCACCTGGCTATGAGCCAGGGCACAAATAAATTACAAATACTCAATCATTGTTCCAAAGACTTTCAATGCAGGATTGTAGCTTTTATGCTGAATATTAGACAGTGGTATAACATCTTAAGAAGAGACAGTAAATTCCTTTTAGCTTGTGTTTTGCTTTCCCCCAGTGTGAATGAAGAGGTGTTCTCACAACAATTTACCCATCATAACCTTAAAATTTATATAGGTCTTGTGTCCAAAAATTATTGATGTGACTTGTACACAATTTTAAAGAAAGCATTCTTTGGAGCACTATCACATGGCTAGGCTTGATTTCCATGCCCTAAATGTTGTCACACATGACCTACATTGGGGAAACATAGCATCTGCGGTAACAACCACAAGCTAGTAAAGGTCTTTACTATTACTTCTCCTCTAATAACTGTACTTAACAAAAAATTTATTTGGCATTGTATCATGCACTGTATTTTATTAGCTTTATAGCCACTGCACTGCTTTCATCTCATTCTCAATGCCCTTGCCAAAGGAAGCTTTGAAGAAGAGGGAGAGTGAGCACAAATATTCAGTACAGGGGGCCAGAGGAAAAGACAAAAAAACCATGTAACATTGATTTAAAAATTGCAAAAATAATTATGTTCCAATTAACCAATCACTTCCTGCTATCCTACTATTTAAAAGCTTTCCCAATATTTCCCCACCCAAATGAAGCCAGTAACAGTAGTGTCCATTGAAAGAAAAAAAGGGTAGCAATAAAAGCGAATAAAGAAGGGAAAGCGAAATTTGTGCCTGCAGCTGTATTACTTTAAAACCAGGAAACCATCTCATGCTTTCTATGCATGCCCCAACTTTTGAAAATAACATTTTCAATTTGCATCTGTGACTGAACGCTGTGAACTACACGGCCTTTAAACAGTCTTCTGGTAAGATTTAGCTCATAAGCCAGACAGTGACTACAAAACGAAGCCACTAGCTTCAAAATAAGTTTCTTAGCAAAATTCCCAGGAGAGGAATGGGATAAAAAACAAAACAAAAACAACAAAACAACGACGAGCTGAACTAAAAGGATAACTAATACAAAGCAGACTCAGGAATGAAAAAAGGTTTATCAGACTGCTTTGAAGGGGCTGGTCTCACTTGTCCGTTTTCATCAGCCAGCTCTAGGAACTCCCGCACCTGGGGCTGACTGATGCCTGGCCTTTCCAAAGCTTCCAGCAAGGCCCGTCCCTTTGCCCTTCTTTCACCTGTCACCATCTGTGCCTTCTTCAGGAATAGCCACCTTCTGCAAATAAGACCTCACTTGTTATCTTCATTGTCAGAATTGAGGTGGGATAACAGCTTTAGTAGGTACAGGGGAGATTTCTGATCATTTTTTGAGATATCCTCCTTGTTCCTAATGTCATTGGGGAAACCAGACCTGATAGGTTTCTACACTTCCTCATCTCTCTTTACCTATGAAAGATTGCAAGAAAAAGGTATGACAGAGAAAACAAAATTAAATACGGTGGCTTGACTGGATTTTTTAGGGGGAATACCTTCCAAGTTTAAGCATTAACTACATCAGCATGAGCAAAGATATGGGAAAAAGGCTACCACAACATTCCTGTATTATATAAACATGAAAATTTCTTATTATCTAGGTTTTATTGCAAATGGAGTCACCATGGCAACCTAATGAAACCAATATGTTTTTTATTTATTTTTGTGTTTCTCTGTACCAGGAGTGTTTTTTAGCAAAGGCTTAAGGGAGTATGTACCTGCCATAATTGCTTCAATTATAGCAAAGTTTGAACAAATTGTGTGAGAGCATTTTGGAAATTTTTTGAAACAAGTTTTTAGAATCATAAAAACAGTGAAATAGCATGCTATATATCCACACAATTAGCTAATATGTTAAGAAAATGTTAAGCTTTCGAAGCACAGTTTCATCTCATAATGATTTGATTCCATTCAAAACTGTGTACAAATAAAAAGAGGGGAATTGCTCTGGGCGAATGTGAGTGAGAAGAATTTTATTAACCTGCATTCAGCTGCTTTTGTTACAGTTTTTGCACATAATTTGGTCCATGCCTACAAATTTCACATTATTCAAAAAACCACTTGATAAATTTTTTCATAAACTTACCAATCTCAAGGTCAATTGTTAATAAATATACCCTGCAAGTTTCAAGAACATTGAAAACAGTGAAGGCTTTTAAAAAGGGCCTCCAATATAACCAGGGTTGTCAGAAAGTTTTGAAGTAGATGACTGAGTTGTCAAAGTAAGCAGCCAGTCCAGGGATATTTTATTTAAAAAACGTCATCTGCAAAGAAATGCCAAGCAGAGTAGCCGGCTGATACTAACCAAGAAGGTGGCACTTTTCACCGGCAGCCGGCTACTTTTGACAACCGTGTATAACCATATTTTCCCTTAGTGAGTGTCCTCATTATTCAGTGGCATTGTTTTCAAGTTTCATATATATGCACATGTACAATTAGCAAAAGAAATAAATTTACATTTAAAAGAACTCTAAATAATTACTTTCCAAAGAAATATCCGGAAAATGCTAATAATTGCCTTGTCTCATGGATAGCAGTGAGAATCGAAACG